GTGAGTGACTGTGGTTCAGGGCAAATCAGATGCTCCTTCTGAACGACATAGAGACTCATGGTCAGTGCGCAGCATAGAGACCCACCATCAGGGCGTTTGCTTTGTCTTGCCTCATTTCATTGTAAATTATTCAAAGCTAAAAAGGGACTGTGCCTTTAAATTTTGCTTTTGTTAAAGTAATCTACATATAACCTTTAAAAAGGCTCTTGTTCACATTATCCCCTCTATATTCCTCTCCACACTCCCATAGCTAGATCAGACATTTTATTAGATCAATACTCAATGTTGCATTCCAATAACTCTAATATTGTTCACAACTGAAGCAAGTTAGGGTATTATAAGTACATTTTCTCTCCTTTAAAATTGCTTGCATTTAGTGGAGTTAACAATGTTCTCCTTTTCGTGTTTACATAGTTCTCTATATGTCTATCACTGATTCATCCTGAAAATCTCTTTCAGAACCATGAACACCCTCTTAACACATATGGGCAATTCAGTCTGTCCCATTTTCCTGAGAGGTGGCCACCTCTCCTTGCTGGCTATTCTCGCGGTCAGCTGGGCAGATGTCCTGCAGCGTGGCCCTTCACCATCACCCAGGCAAGCCCCTTTGCTTCTTGCCTGTGTGGGAGCCCATGTGTCTGGGATTTCCTGTGTCCCACTTTCTGGGGTTCTTCCCTTTCTTTAGTGGATGCATATTCTAGTCATCTCCTAGGAAATGGTCTGGAAGAGGTAATTTGAACCTTGTATATCTGAAATGGTCTTTATTCCACCTGCACATTTAATTGAGGGTTAGTCTAGGCATAGAATTATTTTCCCTCAACATTTCAATTTGAAAATGCTCCACTGTTTTTTGTAGCATCCTGTGTGGCTGTTGGGGATTCAAGTACCCTTTTGGTGAACAATTATTCATAATCATTGATGTGCAATATATTTCTCTTGCTTTATCTCCAATATTTTGAAGTTTTATGAGATTGCCTTGATGTGGTTGACACTTTTTGTTCAGAGTTCTTAGTGGGCTCTTTCAATTTGGAATCTTGTGGCCTTCATTTTGAGAAACTAAAATAATATATACAATTCCTCCACAATTTCTCCCTTTTATTTTTTCAGTTCTTTCTTTCTGGAACTTGTAGTACTAGTCTGGGTCCTCCAGGAAGGAGATGCCAGGACAGGATGAAACATGAGAGGATTTTGTTAAGGAAGATGGTGGTGAGAGAGTGTGGGGAGGAATCTAAGGGAGGCTGCGGGCTGGGATAGCAAATCTGAACCCTGCAAAGGAGAGAGGGAGGGAGGGTTGGAGGGTGCATCTCGTAGGGGACAGCTGTCATGGAGCTGAAGCCCCATCAGAGAGCCTACCTCTTCCAAGAACTGGCCTGCCTTGGTGCTCTGCCTCACTCAGTGACCAGGACCAGCTCCCAGAGTGTGTGCGTGGAGCAGAGGCTGTGGAGGGCCTCAGCAGCTGCAGCTGCCAGTTGGCCAGGTACGTTCTCACGGCTGCCACCTCCTATCATCCTGTGAATGCTGACTCTCCTGCACGGATTCTATCCTTTTCTTATCTTTTCTCCCCTATTATTGTCCCTTAACAAAGAATATTGGGAGATTTTCCTAGCTTTGTTTTCAGATCATTTTATCTGCTCTAATATTTAAATTTCCAAGTGCTCGTTCTTGTTCTTGGAGTCTTTTTTTCTAGCTTCTTGTTTGACATCTATAATATCATCTTTTCTCTCTGAAGGTAGTTGAGGGTTTTAGAAAATTATCTTGCCCCCTGCTATGCCTCTACTTACTCGTTTCCTTTCTGTGTTTGCCTTGACCTTTCTTTTTCATGTGAAAGCCTTTCCTCAAATGTCTGGTGACCCTTGGCTGCCTGTCATTTAAGAAAGTGCCCCTAGTCAGCTCATTGGAAGCTGTGAGGGAGAGGGCTGCGTTCGGTGCTGCCAGGTGGAGGAACACCCATGCATCAGTACTGGGAGGTCTTTCCTCTCAGCCCATTGGATTTCCCTAAAGAGTCCTTCGCGGCTAGGATGAGGCACCTGAGTGCTGAGTAGAGGAAGGGAGTCATGGGTCAGTCATCCTGTGCGCAGATTTTCACACAACCCCCTCAGTCTCCAGGATATGCCTTGCCCCCTAGCCTAAGTAATGCAGAACCCAAATCCATACCCTTCCTGGGTTTCTCCAGAGTCAACCTCAAACCCTAGGCTGGGGAGTCTGTTTCCTAAAGGCACTTTCAACCAGTGTTCCTGTTTCCAGCCTCACACATCAGGTCTTCTTTCAAAGGCGCCCGGCCCCTCTGTTGTGTGAATGGGAATGTGCTACCATCCTCTAAATCAGACAGGCACCTGCAAAGGCTTTTTGTTTATCTGAATGACTCCTGTTGGAATATTAGTCATGAATAGGATAATGTATTTCAAATGTTCCAAACTTCTTTAAGAGAAAGGGAAAGAAAACCATCTGTTGACTCTGGTCTTTGCTCAGGTCCAGAGGCGGGAGGCTCCAGGTCCAGTCTGAGGAGTAAATGTTGGATGCAGAAACTCATCAGTGTTGGGAACCCAGTGAGGCTACACAGCACAGAGGGGCTGGACAGAGTCAGGGGAAGAGGAGCTGGCTTGTCTCCTCATTGTCACACGCCGTCCCACCGTGGAGGACTCAGGCTGTCTGGTGGCTACAGAGGTAGTGAAGCGGTTGCCAGGGGCCAGAGCAGGAGCAGAATTTCTCCGTGAAGACAGTGGTTAGGAGGAAGGACTGAGAGCGCATCCCGCTGGGGTACTGGAAGGTGTAGGATTCCATCAGGGCAAATGCTATCGCTTGTGCTTTAAGACTAGGATTTGTGGAACAGGTAGAATGCATCCCCTGCCTTCCCCGTTGCTTAGCAACAGGCCTCTTTCTCATTCCCAGCAGGTCCAAAAGGGCCCAGTTTTGAAGGTAGGGGGCAAGGAGTAGGGGATGAAGGTAAGATAACTCCCTAGTCTGCATAATAATGAGACATTCTGGCTCCTTTGTGCAAAAGGTACCTGCCTTGCAAATGAATGAGGTAGTTGAAAAACACTTCTTCTCCCTGTTTGGGGTTTATTCTGTGAGGATGAATGCTTACCTGGGGCAGGCACATGTTTCTGTGTGTGTGTTTGTATTTCCACAGTAGTCTGCTGGATTGCGAGAGTCAAAGTCATGTTTTCAGCCCACACCGGTGGGGAGGCTCACAATGCCTGCCCCCTGGGCCTCCACACTGGACATTGGGTCCACACTGCCCCCGTTTCCTGAGTTGTTCTGTGGGACTCCAAAGGGCCTCCTGCCAAGCTCTCTGACAGTTCACATCCCATCTGAATAGCCTCATGCGCCAGTCCAGGGCCTCTGAGAAGCAGATGCCAAGAGGGGATTAAAAGTGCCAGGATTTTGTTGGGGGAGATGCCCAGGTGAGGAACGTCAGAGGGAGCCTGGTAACTTGCAGCTGGTAGACCACGGTCTCAGCCCCACCAGTGTAGTGCAAAGTCTGTGCTGTGAAGCTCTGCATTGCCTGGGACCAGGCTGGCTGTGAATGGTCAAGGGAAAGTCAGGTCAGCCTGACCTTCTAGGGCAGGAGTCCCCACACCTGGTCTGTGGCCTGTTAGGAACTGGGCTGCACAGCAGGAAGTGAGCGGTAGGTGAGCAAAGCTTCATTTGTATTTATGACCCTCCCCATCACTCACATTACCGCCTGAGCTCTGCTTCCCGTCAGATCAGCAATGGCATTACAGTCGCACAGGATCTGAACCCCTTGTGTGAACTGCACGTTTGAGGATTCTTAGGTTGTGCGGCTTCCTTGTGAGGAAATCTGAACGCCTGA